GTATGTCTATGGGCAACGGTCACTTCGCTACTTCAGCGATTTCAGGTGGCCGCTCGCTCGTTTGCTACCTTATGATATAAAAAAAAATTAAACTTAGCATTAAAATAAAATATTTCAAGGTTTTTCTTCGGTTCATTTATACTATACTTTTGTTTATATAACAAGACAATTAGAAGGGAACAATTAAAATGATTCTTAGAGATTCTTAGATAGCATAGATTGGGACGTAAAAATCTTATACAAGTGTGGACTAATCGCAGTCTGATATTAGTGAAAGTGTTTTTTCCAGTTCGCAGCAGGTGTATGCAACGTTGACACACGCTCGTCATTTGTTTCTGACGAAACAAATCTGAAACTGCATGTTCAAGTTTACTTTTTAGCTTTGCCTGAACCGCTAGACAGATTGGCATAAACCTTTGGTAAGCTAATGAAAATGGATTGTGTTCTTAAAATTGGAATACAATAAAACACTGAGGTATGTTTTTAATTTTACGTAGTATTACAATAAGTCGTATTTAAAATAATAAAACAAATATTGCTTACAGTTACAATTGGTCTGTTTTGTATGTTTTCGTCGAAATTTTTAAAATTGGAGTGCCTGTATTGAAAAAAAGATGTCACGTTTAGTGTAGATGACGTGTTTATTTTACTTATAATGGAAAACTAATTTGTAAAATGTTCGTTAGTGTGTCCGTAAGGTCACTTTTGTTTCGGGTAACCAACGAAACGATGGGCCAATATTGACGGGACATTAAAGGGATGGGAGCTAATGCACGCGGGGATATATAGAATACGCTTTTCATTATTCTGCGCGGGCGAATAAAGTTAGTACAATTTACATTTAAAAACTTTTAATTATTACCATAAGTCATGTGTCAATATCGTGGGAATATCTGTCACGTTGCGAGTCAATTTGCAATCGGTCGGCAATGAGGAGGGAAATGCTGCCCTCTCACACCCCTAGCACAAATTAACTGTCGATACATCGACATCGATACAAAGCTACAAATTCATCAGAGTTTATTGTAAGGGTTTTAAAAAGCTTTATTATATTTGTCTACAACTTTTGTAATTTAAATATTAGTAGTCGCCCGCGGCTTCGTCCGCGCGGAATTGTCTTTAAAAGCAGCATATGTCACTCAGAGTCAGTGTAGCTTCCCAACAGTGATTTTTTTTTAAATCGGTTCAGTAGTTTCGGAGCCTATTCAATGCTAAAAATCAAATCATTCATGTTTATAGCAATAATATAGATTTGTATCTGACGTAGCTTAAGATAGACGTATAGATGTAGTTAACAGTGGTAGAGCCCGCTTTAACATCTTCGCACGAATCGGCCCGGCTCGCCCGGTGAAATACCACGACCACGCAGAAGACAGGCGTCAAGTGGAAGATATTCCGCGTTTCTTCTGATGAGTGTGTGTCCCGGAGGCCTAATATAGTCCTCTTTCCCTTCCCACCCTCTTTCTTATAAGGAAAGGATGGGAAGTGTAAGGGGACTTTCCGGATGAGAGGATGCATGGGTTGATTAAAGGTAGGCAACGCATGTGCAATTGCGTATGTCTATGGGCAACGGTCACTTCGCTATTTCAGCGATTTCAAGTGACCACTCGCTCGTTTGCCACCTTATGATATAAAAAAAATAGATAATTGAGATTTATAATCTGTGGCACCTCATTGATATGAGAGGTAAAATATTACTTAAAAACATTCGACTATTCGAAATGACTTGTCACTCTATTTTGATTGCGTATTTTTTTTGGTCAATGCGAGTTGTGACTTTTTTCATTGAAAAGCATTTACATACGTCCCTCAGTATGTAACCTTGGTAACTTGTAAACATATTTACTATGGGGGTCTAATCCCCAGTTGTTAAGCCCCCCTCACATACAAAACTTTAATTTAGTATAATTAAAAGTAATATTTTAATGAATAACCTTAAAAATTAATGTTATAAAATAATAACTTTATAACTTTGACCTTAGAAGGGCAATCTCTAAATGGAAACATCTGTCGAAGTGTTTATTAAATTTGGTGACGGTAACGTAGTAGACCCCCCTGCTCCCCCTAACCCCCCCATAACAAAATTAACTGATAAGTGTCTCGCGACGACCCACTGCCCTGAATTGACTTTTCTAATATGTTATTACATTGTGAATAAAAGTTCCGATATTCAAATTTAAGGCGCGGTTATATATCACTATTTTTATATTAACTAGTCAAATGAATATTCATCAATAACTTCATAGAATTAACAAAAATAAAAAGTAAATTTAACAATAAAATGTAAATTTTACTAATTATTTTTTTACTAACATCTCAATAATTGAAGAACTGGATTGATTGAGGAGACGCATATGAGGGGGAAATATTCTCTCTCTGTGCGATCCCTCCTCTGTCGTTTTAAGGTAGGCATAGCATCTGCATTTGCGGGTGTCTATGGGCAGTGGTGGTTTCGCCATTTCAGCGTATTCAGGCAGTATTTTTTTATAAAAAGTATAAAAAAAAAATAGTACAAGTTAAGCTACAAAAAAAAATATTGCTTGCCACCTTATAAAATAAAAAAATATTTGTACTTGCAAATGGTTCCCATAGTTTGTGTAAATGTTTCAAATAACCATGTGACAGGATACGATATCACCTGCCTCCTAAAATAGATCGGGTCCCGGGTTCGATTGCGGAAAAAACGTGTGATCGTGTTCAAGTGGCTACAGCGATAGGAAACGACAGATGTGTTAGCTAGGTGCTTATTAACTTACACAATAACAATACAGAGTCTCAACTAAAATACAATGGATTTACAACTTTATTCTTATAGTATTAAGGTTCTTTACTATACTCATATATGAAATTTGATTTATTATAAAACAGTATATCAGGTTACGGGGAACATCCTGTCATTAAGGATGCTGAGTTTGTATAGTTTGCTTTCGCTCATTATATCACATTGAATAATTGGTAGAAATAGTACTAAAGAACAATTAAATTAACTGGTCAGTTTAACCTTTAAATATATTTAGGTTTACCAAAATACTAGCTGTCGCTTACGGCTCCTCTCCGCACGGAATTAAAAAAAAAACATAATAAATAGACTATGTGTTCTTCCAGACTATGTTCTATATGTATGCCAAACTTCATCAAGATCTTTTCAGCCGTTTTGGAGATATCTTCAAACAAACATCCATCCATCTAAACATTCGCATTTATAATATTAGTAAGACAAGGATTAGTTTTCTATTTTTCTGCCCTATGTGAGTGGCAAAATAAAAATCCCTTAAAGCTTTAAGATTGTTCTCGTAGTAGATTTTCAGACGATACGCAGAATTATTTACATTTGATGCGTTTCTTCTATGTGGCCAGTTCGTGCAGCAACTAATTTTGCAGGCTCTACCACTGTTATGTTCTTTGCATTTTGTCATGTAAATAATTCCCTACTCGTTGTAATGGATAACATGAACTTTAATCGTAGTTAACTTTACTTTTAGTACTTTGGAAGCGAACCAATACTGTGTTCACCAATGATAAATGTACCAATAAACATATCGTTACTGGATAACACACGTTCTTAGTATCATTAACCAAAAACGTATTTATTTCTATATTTAATTATTGTTTTTGTCACTTAAATTTTTTTCAACCTTATTTGATTTCTACGTATAATTTATTTTGCTCAGGGGTCAAGTACTTGACTTGCAATCTGCAGGTCCTGGGTTCGAATCCCGCCATGTACCAATGAGTTTTATTTGATCCGATTTACATATGTACAGTTATCCGACGTTCTTACCGTGAAAGAAAACATCGCGATGCAACCAGCACATATTTGAGAAGAAATTCAAAAGATATGTGAGCAGTCAACCAACCCGCACTTGGCCAGCGTGGTTGACTATGACCTAATCACCCCTAATTTAAGGTAGGCTCTGAGCTCCTCAGTGGGGACGTATAGTGAGCTGATGATTTTTTTAATGTGTAAGTACTTGATAAATATTTATAAGATCCCCTATCGTTAGTTGACTGTAAAAACAGCAGTATCAGTAATATTTGCGTTTCTCTCATACCTTTCGAGTTAAAAAGAGATAGCTATATGTTTGTAAGAAAATGCAGTAGAAAAGCTACGAAGCATTTAACAGTGAAGTTTATCAGAAGGTAGTCCTAAAAAGCTTGCGAAGACGCGTTTAAGTCTTTTTGTAGAGAAATTAACTGATTTAAAATCTTTCTCAACTTCTTTATATATAACTGTATGTTATCAAATATATATGTATATTATACATTACCGGTCAATACATCTGTACTTTCTCTGGTGTTGCGGTAACCTGCTGCTCCTTTATTTAACTCTATTCTTTGTTTCTTACTCCTTTTACTATTGCGAGCGTCGGTGGCTCAGAAGTAGACTTAACTTGTAATCTGCAGGTCGTGGGTTCGAATCCCGCAATGTGCTAACGTGTTTTTCAATATATATAAGTATATTTATCGGAGTTCTTAATATAAAACATCGGTGAAGAAATTCAGAGATGTGTGAAGTCAACTGACACTGGCAGCGTGGTTGACTATGGCCTAGTCACCTCTAACTTAAGGTAGGCTTCAAACCCCTCAGTGGGGACAATGATAATGTTTTTACGAGTATAGCAGTATATTAATCTTTCTATAAAGTAAAAGGCTTTTTTGTACAGTATTTCTTTATTTTATACCTATTGTATTATGAGGGTTACAGAATCAATTTTCTTCCAATCTCTTATATTGTAGTCAACCTTTCTCTTTACATAGTTAAAAGTAGAAGCTCTTAGGCTATTTTATTTATTGTCAATGATAATGGACACTTAACATAAATCTAATCAGAGTTTATTTTTGTCTGTGGTTTGTCTGTTTTATTTGTGAGTCTATGTTTAAACGATATGATATACCTTGTAATTGGATACTTGTACCAGTAGTAGTAATACTTTTCTTTCGTTTTTCATAACCTTTAAGGTTTAGTGAAGGAATAGGAAGGTTATAAATAAAAGAATATGTTCGAAAGTTATAGTTTATATTAGATTTATAATAAGATATGTAGTCTACAAAATTTCACAAATTTTCACAACGTTATTTGAACCTAAAGCGTCTACCCATTTTATTATGAAAATAAACTTATAAAAATCACTGGATCTACGTACGTCGGGGGCTGATTTTACGCAACCATTATTTTTTAAAATATAATCTAATAGGCAGTTTTCATTCTCGCGTATCTTAAACATGATTAATCAAAACTAATAACGGTAAAAAAATAAAAAAATCTCAATCCATAAAATCCGCCCCCCGTGAAACCAAACAACAAAGACCTTCTCCAATGCACATACAAACGTATTTATTATCGTTATATTTAACTAGAGTTATACAGAATAATGATTCCTATGAAATATAATTATGCATTCTTTAAATTTATTCAATATAATAATAATAATAATACTTAATAAGTATCAATAGGTAATGGTTAGTCAATGTCGTGCTACAGACTACTATAGTTTAATAATAATAATAATAATGAATGAATCGTATTATTTCTTTATCATTTATTACTTTAATTTTATTATTCGATATCATAACCACTAAACAGCCCGCGGCAGCCTCGGCTAGCGCCCGCGTCCCCGGCGCCTTTCCCTGCCCTCCCCTACCCACTACCCCTAGCCCCAGTCAATTTTCTAGTAGCAGTACCCACAGTCAACCGCAGTCACCGCCGCCTGCGCCCTCGCGCGGGACGCGGCGGCGTCGCGAGCGGGGCGTGGGGCGCGGGGCGCGGGGACGCCGGCGCGCATCACAAAAAAACATCGTCAACACATAAAATAATAATCAATAATAATAATCATACAGATAAAAATCATTCATAAAAACATTACAATAAAAATCTAAACATTAAAACACACTTAAAACAAACATTATATTAATATTATCATAATCATAGTGTGTACGTATGTATAATATCATTTAAGCGAATAGTCGTATAGTCAAAATAATGTGAGCATGGCGCGCGGGGGAGCGGCGCGGGCGGCGAGCGCGAGCGGCACGGCGCACGGCACACGGCAATGCGCGGCACGGCGCACGGCACGGCACGGCACGGCGCGGCGCACGGCACATTTCCTACAAACATTAGCTAGTCGCGTGGCCGCCAGGCGGACTGCGCCGCGACGCGCACTCCCCGCGCCGCCCGTCCCTCGCCTATAATATTACGATACCTTAATACTTTACGCTACTACGTTAGGTAAGCTTTATAAATTTCGATTTCTTTACGCTATCAATAATAATTATACAACTTTTTTTATTTAACTTTTATGCATTTTTTTTCGAAATTCTATCGTAACGTACCTCGAGTCTGCGGCGACGAGCTCGGCGGCTCGACGACCCAATAAAAAACGTTCATAATAAGAAAATATATCGTGAGTAACTCTGCCGACTTACGTTAGGTGCGGCGCGGCGGACGGGCCGTGCCGGCGGGCGCCGACTTTTGGCACCAGGATTTCGATTACGCGACTTATACATTTTAAATTCCGTAACGATTTAAGTAAAAAAGGGTGCGTCCGTGCCGGCGGGGCGCGACGGCTTACGACAGTATGCGAATGGCTTGATGCGCGGGCGCAGCGCAGGCGGGGCATGGTGCCGCGGTGGCCGCCAGCCGCTGTGCGCACTCCAGGCAGTACAGGTTGTGCCCGCACGGTACCAGCGCCGCCGCCACGCCACGCTCGCCACATACGGCGCACGCACGCGCCGGTGACGCAGCGGGCGAGGGCCGTGGCGGACCCCACGCCCATACGCCGCCTGCACCCGGCGACTCGAACGACGGAGACTCGCCCAGCCCCTCGTCGCGCTCCGTCGACGACCAGATGCCCAGCAGGTCGCCAAGTCGCGCCGAAGATCCGCTTGAAGAGCACGAGCCCGCCGATGAGAAGGCAGCCTCTGCCTCGGGGCGCAGTAGCGAAGCGAGTCCAGCGCGGTACAGCTGCGCCAGCGGCTCTGTGTCGCCGGGTGGTGTGCCGCCCGCCGCTGCGCCTGCCGCGCCTGTGCGCAGTGCGATGTGCGCCTCGATCTCCTTGCGCGCCGCCTCCACGCTCTCGGGCAGTCCTGTCACCTCAAACACGGGCTCGCGCTCGCGCGACGGTGTCACGATGTAAGTGTGCGTCGTGTGCTGGATGCGCTTAATTGTGGCCCCCTTGGGGCCAACGACGAGGCCGACGACACGATAGGGCACGCGCACCTGCGCGGTCACGTGTCCGGGCGCTCCAGCGGGCGGTGGTGGCGCGGCGCCGCACTTGCGCGAGGCGCGGATCTGCGAGAAGTGCTCAGCGGCAGAGAGGATCTCGCGCTTGGCGCGAGCCACGTCTTCCTTGCGGCCCGTCACCACAAACACGGGCTCCTCGCCGCGCACCGGTGTCTTTATATATGTGTTGGTCTTCGCGCGCAAGGCCTTGATCTTGCAGCCTGGAAACAAAGGAGTCTATGTTATTAAATATACAACAAAGTAAGTGTAGAAAGAAAGAACAACCATTTATGTTTAGCGATTGCTAAAGGAAGTCCAAATCTCGTGATGTGGAGCGATTCTATATCCTAATCGGTAACAAGAGATGTCGTCACCGTACATACATAAAAACATATAAAAGATTATTGTCAGCCTCGCCCTACGCAACAACTTAATCTTTTAGTACGTATCTACAAATAAGCGCGTTGCTATCTAGCCCTACAGTAGGAAGATATAGTAATGTATCGTCAAAAGTAAAATTCTACTTAACAAGAAAAGCTTTCAAGCTTTACTAAATAATGACATATGTTAAGGGCAAGTAGTTTGAACATGGATCCGCAAAGTCCAAGGTCCCTTAAATATATTAGTGCTGGTGGCAATGTACTGCGACGTCGAAGGCCAACCGGGTACGTCGGTCGTTCGTGTCGGGCCGCGCGAAGCCCGCCGACTGGTAACGCTACGTCACCTACCTGTCTACTATCCTGACCCTGGAGACAAGATAACGGCAGCTGCTACCAGGATATCATAACTTTATAACTACTACGCAACCCTAAGACTATATTAATGATTTTCAAGCTATACTACGCCTTCAAGTATAATTTCACTACATACAACAAAATTCTTGTTGAACTACAAAACAATTCTGTGCCACGTGGCGGCTGATGCATCCGTCCTGCTCTAGCTGGTATAATTACGCTTGTGCCGTCCTACTCCCGCGACCCACTGCGGCAAAGGCCGGCGGAGGCGTGCAGTCTCCCAGTTACGCTCGGGTACTTACGACCCCTCAATCAATATTCCCATTGTTTTCCTCAGTGGAACGGCCTACAGAAATAACAGCTAAGAATTGATCTACCTTTTAATATTATAAACATTGTTTTTTAACGAGAAATGAAATTATTGCTTATTGCAAACATGCTACTAAAGATCTGTATGAGGCATTATGGACGTTTAGACGATAAATTCATCAAAAATCTTTATAAGCAATAAAATCCTACGTATGTATATTATATTTAATACTTAAAGTTTCTTCATAAAGAGTAGAAACAAAAATTAAATTGCGTATCAGAACTTATATTACTTCTACGTAATACAAATGATAAATCATGAGTTAATTTGCTATGTACACGACTTTAGCTATGTAAATAAATAATTGGTGCGAGGCACACGTATCACCCTGTTTGTTACAAATGTAGAGCCTGTGCGTAATGGAGGGTAGTTTTTTGAATCACAGGTCGTTGATCCGGTAATATAATACCAACCAAAGCTATAATAGCACGTATTACTATTGCTTTAAAATTCAAATTCGCATGTATTAGTAATAATTTCAATCAATATACAGTATTGTAGCAGGTTGAATATAATGCTTTAATGTTACATAAAGGCTTTTGGATATAAGAGAGCTATATTAAATATATTAAAACAATAGATTACATAAATATATACAAACACTTGTTTTAACTTCAAGCGTCAATAGCTTAATGGTTAAGGGTACCGATTTCCGATCACGAGGTCGTGGGTTCGAATTCCGCCATTCGACTATTGTCGTAAACCATATCGTAGCACAAGCCTAGAGCTTACTTGGAATGGTAAAAGAAATATTAGTAAATTAAAAAAAAACTGCTAATATAATAAAAACTCTTTCGTAAATATATTTAATGATTACCTAAATGACGTTGCCTTACATTTAAATTTAGAACTACATTATTTTGGTCAAAACTTATTAAAAATAACGCAGCTCTTTTAATATTGATAAAATTAGAATGTTCGCTGCAGATTGTTCTGATAACATCCCTAGGGGTAAAGTACCTCCCTTGGCTGCTTGCCAATTCGTGCAAGCAAATATCCAAGCTCCTGCAAACTGATAATTTTAACTACACTATATCTAAATGGTCTATAAGTGATACTCACTGAATTACTAAGGCAGTCTTTAAAGAGATAGATGTCTAATTTTATTTTTGATAATTCAGTGTACGTTAAAAGAACATAATATCTTATAATAGGTAAAGATAAAAGAATAGAGACGTATTTTAAATAAAGGAAAATCGTATAGTTAAAACACATTTCCTAGAATTCAGAATAAAATAGAACACCTACAATGCAGCACAATACATAAGCAGTGAAGATAAAAGCGGTCTAACAAACACCTACTCTATGTAAACCGCCGCGTAATGCGCTACGGTGTCTACGGCGCTACGCGGCTACGCGGCCAGTGCACTCTACGTCGTAGAACCGGGTCACTGCGCCTCTCTCCTCCCACTAGGTTAGTGCTACGCAGCTCGAGTACTTTTTACGATTAAAATATTCTTTTTATTCTAGATCTTTCGCTTGGATTTTTATAATTAGTTCCCCAAATTCATTGCTGGTTCAACATTAACTAAACAACTTTAACCATATCATTAACAGTATTAAACAGTTAACTATAGTTACTATGTAAAATATACTGTTTGTCTGAAGAAGGCTTCTATAACATCCATTCCTTCATTTACCAAACTGAATACAAGGATAGACGTAGTACAGTATTTATGTCTCACTCGCTAGATGGCGCTAATGATAGTATTATGACATTCCTAAACTACGCGTCTATTTTATGTAAATCTAGCTATAGCCTCCGGGGGTTTTAAAAATAGATAGTACATAAGTTGATTTATCCCATAAGTATGGTAACTAGCATTGTGACACGAAAATTATATATATTAGTGTAAGATTGTTCCTTATACATAACTGGTTTTCTTTTAATAAATCTGTAAGTCGCAAACTGTTAGTGATTTATACCATAAAGAAAGAACGCGAAGAAAGAAAAAAAAATTCTATCGTTAAAACTTTTCATATTTTTCGCAATATTTTCATGTTATTATGATTATTATTTCTTTCTAAAAATATCTCCCGAAGAAAACAAATCAATCAAAGATATTATTATTACAATGAAGCATCGACCAGTCACCAGGAAAACATAAATCAGAGTAACCATAACAACGGCTAGGGGTGGGGATCTTACTAAGACTCGCTTTTACGCGCACCCTGAACAATTCTATAGCATATTATAGCTTACTTCCTAAGGAGCGTGATGAAAATAGTTTGTTAGAAACATTATATTATTATTATCACTGTATTGTATAAATGAATTCATTAAATATACTTTTTAAACTTGCTATTTTATGTTTTGTTGGCCAGATTTATCAAATGTATAATGAATAAAAAAAGGATTTACTAAAACGAGTTTTGTTTGAAAATAATACGTTAAAAATTACTACAAAATTTAAGAACTTGTTAGCAGTGAGTGGAATATTCCATCGAAGAAAACTTATAATATTTACAATTTGATACGTATTTAATATCAAGGTATTAAAATTTAAACTCCTCTGCCATGTTATCAATTACAAATCTTTCTAGAAATATCCTATAAATTATCAGTGAAAGTAACCAACAAACAAACACGTACTTACATTAATCTATTGTCATCCCTTTCATTATATTCGACATAACAAAGACAAAAATATGCAATAATACAAATTCTAAGGTTAGGATTTACTCTCACGTACGTTATGTAAATAGTATCAAAAAGCTACGAAAAAATATAGTAATTCTTAAGTGGAGCGAAATGTCGCATGCGGTAGTAGCTTCCTCGTGTGTGGGGTGGTGCGGGGCGGGGGTTGTACGTGCGGGGGTGTCGGCGCCGCAGGGGCGCGCACCCCGCGATCGATAGCGGTCAACGACCCGGCAGCGGGCCGCGACCGCCGGTGCATTGGCAGCTCTGTTCGCGAATTTAACCCACATTCCGCGGATCCACCTCGGCCTGCTAATTACGCATGGGATCGTATAAAATTGTAATTTGTATGCGAGCGTGCCTCCGCGTAAGTGCCTGATTGCGTCCTCATATTTATGTGATGCAATATTTTCAGGCTTCGATACAATTTTACATGCATGATAAGTCAAAGGCCAACATAGTCTGACTAAAGGCTAGGGCGCTAATTTATTCCTAAAATCATTCCAAGTTAACCAGGAATTTACAAAGGCATTTTCTATAAAATGCGTAAACGTCAATCACAATAAGTTACAGTAGGGAAGTAACTTTGATAAAAGGGAGGGAAACAAACATATTTAAAGTTACGCTGGAGGAGGAAATATTATCCGGGTCGACCGGGACGTAGGGACGCCGGGACGCTTGCCGGCTTTCCCGGCGTTTTCGCGCGGCCATTGCACCCGCCTTACGTAATACCAGGGGCGCAGAGGTACCGAGGAGCAAAACAAATCAGAATGAAAACAATCTATGTACAAATTGTAGTATTTTATAAACGCAATCTTAATAAAAGGGCTTTAAAGCTTTAATTGCTTCGTAGTAGAAGTTCAATGTCCCTTAAAAATGATTGATAGGCCAGGTCTAAAAAGGGTTGATCGATTCTAGAACGATTCGTCCTTATAATATTATTTCGTTATGTTTTGTAATTAACATAAAATCGGTCTACTTGGATTAGCACAAATTAATAAGTTACTTTAGAATACGACGTAAGTTGTTTAAAATTTATTTAATTAAAAATATTTAGTTCACTAACTGGGACTTATAACAAATTTCTCGAAATATACAAAGTAAATACGTTTCAATCAATTAGAAACCTTGCGCCAATGACATAGATTTTAATTTAGTTCAACTCAACAAACTCGATACTTTATTCGACTGGCGACTGACACGTGGCATCCAGAGACAATCGTGTGAAGGAGACAGAACATCTAGGGAATATCGTAGGTGTGAAAGGGATGATAGGCAATTTCGTTTCAATTTCACAAGATAGACATATTTGAGCGATGGAATAGATTGGTAAGACATGGGTCGTGGTTATTTTGGTATCTGTCCTTTTTTTAATATTTCCAGCAATGTGGAAGTCTTCAAAAGTGCGTGGGGAAGTGCGGAAGCATCGAGAACATTTGACATGTTCCATTTAATATTCCTAAGGAATAATTCTATAAT